CTCTTTTCTTATAATTTATTCCCTCAAATATAGGTATGATAAAGTCTGTAGTCTTAATTTGATGTATTTAATTAGGGATATTAAACATATGCTTCTTTCTTTTCATGTGAAGATTTCTCATATTTATAGGGAAGGTAACTATTGTGTTGATTGATTTGTAAATCTGGGTTCCAATTTGCAAAGTCTTACCGATTTTACTTATGGTGAATTACTGACCTTTATTAAAGACCTCATTCATTTGGACAAATTGGATTTGCCATATGTTAGAGGTTAATTGGGCTTGCTTTTGGTTTACCTTAAGCTTTCTGCTTAGAATGGTGGTTTTTTATGTAATTCTTTGCTTATCTTTCTTGCTAGTGTTATGGGGGTTGGCTATGACGGTTATCAGTTCATTTATAGCTTGAGGATCATTTATTGCTCTTCCTACTCACCCTTCAGATTAGATGGCAAATGGAGCTTTTATTTCTGCTTGATTTACCTATCACAACCCGGCCCGATGAGCTTGCATAGGCGAGACGGGAATGGATGTCGGACGGTAGACTAAAATATATAATTCCTAAAACTATCACCTTAACATTTGAAAGAGCCTCTAAAATATCAAATTTGAAAACACATAAACATAAAATCATTAATATTCATAAAATTACCTTTTTTTGGGAGCTCCTCCCCAACGATAAATATTTCCACCTCTTCTACTCATTTTAATTTACTTAAACTTACCTGAAAAATGTTAGCAACTAATAGTAAGCCAAAGCTTAGTAAGTAAAATATGATTCTAAACTACAGTAATCAATGCAAAATAAACAATATGTTAAATACCAATTTCATTTAAAACATGACATAAATTGATTTCTTACAAACATAACATTAACATAAACATAAATCATACATTCATATTCTTTCATAATTTATTTTTTATATTTATTTCAACATTCGTAACTTTCTCATTTCGTATATTTTACAACTGTCACAGGAGCCACCGTTTAGTACCATAAAGGTACTCCTTTACCATTTCCTTTTTCATATTCTTTACAATTTTAATGTGTACGAGTACAACGTCCCCAGCTAGTACCATAAAGGGGTGAGCTCCATCAATTCAACATGCACAAGCAATCACTCAATATGACAATCATATCATAATCATATCATCTCATTTATCAATAACATAAAACCTTATCATATACCTTATACAGTAATATTGTGAATCTATTAATATGCAAAATATGAAATAATGGAATCAATTTAAACGCGATAAAATGAACCAATTTATAATAACAATTCAATAAAAACTGAAACGATGCAATTACCATAATAAAGAAGCATGCTTACTCACCTGAATGTTTCCAAGCTTTAATATTTTTCCAAACCTCAAGCTTCATTGTAGATCTTAATACTCGTCTCAGCTTAATTATCAGAAATCTTCAACTGTTCAAATAACATTAATAAGATCTTAAACATTCAACTTAGAGTTCTCAATCATAAAACATTATCAATGGTTTATATTCTTTTATTATGATCTAATCTACTCCCAACATTTCTAAAGGTTCTCTCTCTCTATCTCTCTCTCTCTCTCATTTAAAACATAAAGCATATAAAAATTCTAAAATCTCATATTTTATTCTAATTACATAATTTAACCAAATTAACCCTTTACCCTAATCCTAATTTAATTTAAATTAAATTTTTTTATTTTTGGATTTATATTAATTAAAAATTAGAAAAGTAATATCTCATGAAAATTTCTAATTCCTACTCTTAAAAACTTCCTTAAGACCCATAGAAATATTATATATTAAGAAATTTTCATAGAAATAAAAAATTTGCAAAACCCTAATTTTCAAAATCTCAAAAGTTTTGAAGAAAAACCTCATTTCCTTGCATAAAATTATCTTATAACTCTATCCTATCATTCCCTTAAAGAAATTCAATGTTTCCCCTCAAACCCTAGATTTTTCCTTAAAGAAAATTCTACAAAAAACTTGAGAAATCACTAGAATGTAACTCACCATAGCCTTCTCTACAATTTCCCTTCGATTTGCTTCACAAACAGCCGCCAGAATCCACCCCTAAGGTCGCCGTCCTAGCCTTCCCGTCGCCCCTTCCGCACGCTTCTCCTTGCTTCCGTTCGGTTCGGTCGAATGAGTGAATCATTCGGTCCCTTTAATTCCCTTAGATGGCCAAAAGACTATTCTACCCTTACTTAAACCATCCATGCTTTAATAATCTCTGAGAGTATTATGAAACTTCTCTTAATTTTAAATTCAAAATTAAGCAAAATTGAATATAAGTTTTATATATCAAATTTCTTAGAATTTTGTGTAGAATTTTATAAAATTATTTTCGTCAAAATCTAACAACTTTGAATTTTTCACTTAAAACTCGTTGCGACGCATCAAAAAACGTGCAAGATATAAAATGACATTTTTCAGGTTTTACATTACCTGTGTACCTTCTTGATGAACTATAGAAGGGGCTTGTTAAGCTTTTTCTTTGACTTTATTATCACTAATTGTGCTGAGGTTTTCTCTTGTGACTCTTTTTGCATTTGGACTAGAGATTCTAGTATTTTACCTTCTTTGTTTTTGTTGGATAATGGCTGGAATTGTAGGATTATTTGGACTAGTATTTGCTCCTCTTTCTTTGGGTGATAAAAATTGAGCGGCATATGATGCTTTGGCTTGTGGATTGAGGGATTTCCATATGGAGATGTCTTGGCTTTTAACTGGGTTTGGATTGTTGGGAGTTATTGGAGGTTTTGGCGCCTAGAATTTGATCTTCTATGCGGGTTTGTTCATATTATAATTGCTGCTTCTCATACTTTTGTTATTTATATGGTTATTAATGCTTCCTGCTGTTTGGGTTAGGGTGATTTTAGATGGTTTACCATTCTTTTATTTGGGTTATTTCTGTTGCTAATGGTTGCTGGTATAACTATTATGTTGTCTTAAATGGTCTTATTTTTGGCTGTTATGGTAAGTTCCAGTCTATTATTATTATTATTATTTTTTTTTTTTTTTTTTTTTTTGGGTGTTTTGGTAATTTCCAGTTTTTTTTTTTTTTTTTTTTTTTTTTTTTTTGAAATAGCAAATACCTTGCATTAAAAGGAACTAAAAGAGAAAACAGAAAGAAAAACAGCCAACTATAAGCAGGCTGTTGATTCCTCCATCAAAATTTTTACAAATGATGGAGGAATCGAGTCCAAAGCTAAATCTTCCCACCAAAAAGAAGAAAACACCCCAAAGTTAGCACAAAGGTCCGCTAACTTGTTACATGTTCTCTTAATACTATTAAAGCAAACAAAATTTAAATCAAATAAAAATGAAAATTTATCATTACCTTTTCTTCCTTTCTTGAGAGCTTTATGGATGGTCTTGATGACATTTGCATTGTCACTTTCAATTATTATACCTTTGAATTCATTGCTCCAATTATTGATCACCTCTTGAATAGATATTATAGCCTGAAGTTCCAAATAAGTAATATCCCAGTGAATTTGAGGCATTCCGAAAGCTGCAATCAACCGCCCTTCGTAATCTCTAGCAACTCCTCCTATACCTCCTTTGTATGAAGTATATAAAGCCGCATCTATATTTATCTTGATCCAATTGGGTGGAGGAGAGTCTATTATTTGTTGGATTGCTAATGTGCACCTAGTATTTATCGGTTGGAATACTGCTCCCCTCTCTTCTTGGGAGAACTGTTTTGCTTGCTCTTTTTTTTTTCAGAATGTTCATACTTACCATAATCAGATTATATTGGGCATCATATCTCCAATCTGTGCAGGGAATTATCATTAGAGTTATGATAACGTCTATGTTAAGTTTGAATTTAGGTTTTCTTTACTTTATTATATTAGTAGTTTTTTTGCAGAAATCTTTTGGTGCATTGTTGCTTGTTCATGAATTTTTGAGTGAAGAGATCAAGTTTAATGACATTCCTTCTTTCTTCTAGTATTTTTGGGTGATTACTACTTGCCAACCTAGAAATGCCCTTTGGTAATTTTATATCTAGTAGTAGGGAACTTGAGCTTGTAATTTTTTTTTGCTTAATTCTTGTAGCTCTTATGAGCATTAGAGAGCTCGAGATCCCTCTAATGACCTTGTAATTTTTGTTTTAATCAACGCATAGGTCCCTTCGTGCCCCAAAAAAAAAAGGTGTGGAAAAACTATTGGACTTGTTGATATTCCAATAGAGGTGTGGAAATGCTCACACAAGCTCGCATCAAACCTTAGGTTAGGAGCAACTTCAAACAAGTTTCAAAAAAATTTAAACTCCAGCCAATCCAAACCAATTTCATCAGACTTCAATAAATCCAAAAATTTACATATGATAAATGTATTGAAAATAGTTGAATATACATGTTCAATGGAAAAGAGTACTACCATTTTAAATTTTATAAAATCTTTTTCCAAAGTAAAATCATTTGAATATGTTCTAATAAATATGATTTATGGTATCAAATGTTGGCCATTAAAAGAGAAGCATAATGCTAAGTTAAGTGTGGTAGAGATGAGGATGCTCAGGTGAATGAGTGGCTTTACCCTTAGAGATAGGATACAAAATGAGTATATATGTGAAAAGGTTGAAGTAACTCCAGTAGAAGATAAGATTAGAAAGAGTCATCTTAGATGGTTTGGTCACATAAAACGACAGCCTTCCAATGACCCGATTATGAGAGTAGAGTTATTAAATTTAACTTATGTTAAGAAAGGTATAGCCGGACCAAAAAAGACTTGGTTAGAAAATACTAAGATTGGTCTTTCTTTATTAGATCTAAATGAGAATTTGACTTTTAATATGACACGATGAAGAAAAAAGATTCATTTAGCCGACCACACGTAGTGGGATAAAGGATTGATGTTGTTGTTGTATGTTCTAATAAATATTCTAATGAACAAATTTAGGTTTCGTTAAGTTACAATTTTCTTGATGCTTTCAACAACAGCTTTTTAACACAAATATTTAAAAATAGCAACAACAAAAAATAATAACAAAAAAACTGTCTGAAATGGAGCATTATTTACCTTAAAAATAAAGAATTCAAGGCCCAAAACGTTAACAAGCATGGCTTTATCTCGAAGCATAATCAGATATGTTTTGGCTCAAGATCTGCCATCAAATATAATTATGGAGAAGTGGATGGAAAGCAATACAATAATAATCTTTTATAAAAATTCCACAACATCCTCTTCTACCTCTTCTAAAGGACTTTGGAAGAAGCTTTAGGTGAGGCATCTACAAGTCCAACTCATTAGAAATTAGTCAACCGTTCTTTACTTTCTAAACTCACAGCTGCAGTCCAAGATAACAATGTCTCAACACCAGATGAAGTTCCTGTTAAGATCAGAATTTCAAATTTGAATTCCAGACGAGTATTTTATTCATTGAAGAGATAAATATGCCTAACAAGAGTTTCAAATCTACAAAAACAAATGTGTGAGCCAACCACAGTTACTAATTACCTATGATGCACAGACACGGACACAGCGACACGGATACAACACGACACAGACACGGACATGCCAATTATTGAAAATATAGGACACGGACACGAGTTGGACACAATATTATAATTTTTATATTTTAAAAATAGTGTATAAAAATTATTTAAGTATAATTTTAAAAATCATTTAGAAATAACAAGTCATTTAACTAGAATTTCTGCTTAAAATGATTAATATTAGGATATTGAGATTCGGATGTCGATGTCGTTTATCAGTCATCGAGAGAGGAGATGATTATGCTGTCGAGAGTCGGGAATTGATGTTATGCAATAAATATTGGGCATCAATATTAAGAGGGTGTTTATCGTCGATGTTGAGAGGACGACGATTGATTTGGTGTTATGGATAAGAAATAAGAAATTTAAGTTTTATATTTTAAATAAATAAAAATTTTAAATACAAGTAATTATATTTTTAAAAAATCATAAAATATTTAAAATACGCGAGTCGGACACGTGTGTCCAATTTGCATTTAATATTTTTTTAAAATTGGACATGTTTTAGGTGTGTCCGACATGTGTTGGAGTGTCAGACACGTGTCATTGACACTTACACCTCTTTGAGGAGAAGTGTCGGTGCATCATAGCTAATTACGTTAGCAAACAAAGGCCATTCATGTAAGTCAGGTAAAAAAAACTGAAAGGTTTTGCATAAAGCCAATATGATTCGGGAACTAAGGGATGAACGAGTAATCATATACGTACATGTGAAGTCTCGAGTCTATCGTCTTCTCGCAGCAGAATTTGTAGCTCGTTGAGCAATTGGCTGCGGAGCCTGGGAAGCAGATTGGCCGGCAGGCTGCTGCTCCTCAGGTAGATTCATAGCTTGAGTGATGGCATTCATCACAATTAATCCAAGCGGAATCAGATACATCCACTGTACATTAAGAACAAAATATAGCATTAAAAAGATGTACATTCAAGATTATGTAAACAATTAAACAGCTAAACATGCTTTGAAGATCATCCAAAGGCAGAAGCAAATCTGGAAATGATTAAAGAAGCAGTTCATTTATGCTCCTAATAACAAAAGGCCTGGTGCTTTCACCAGTAGTGCAGGAGCAACCCACATGTTTTAATTTAAAACAAATCATAACCCTTCTTTCAAATAAAGAAGATTAAACTTCGTTTGGGACAGTTTTTTTATTGCTTCTTAGTATAAAAATTAAAATTTTTGTACTAAAAAACTGTTTTAAAAAGCAGTAAGAAAGCTGTCACAAACGAAGCCTAAAGTGAAACAAACCTTTTAGTTTCAGAAAGAAATTCTAACCCTTGAAACAGTGAAGAGAAGGAGACCTTGCCGAGCTGAAATTTATTTACCACCCCCCAGATCGACTACTTGGTTTAATTTATTAAGGAGTTGCTGCTTGAATTATTATAATCTTTGACTTTCTTTGAGCTCCCGCCTGCACTACTTTTAATAAATATTGAGACTGCGCTTTATTCTAGTACAGACGACACGCCCAGGAATTCATTCACTAACATCTAAAGGCCCAATCCCCAACTACTCAGGGTCCTCTCAAAAGCCATCGGCGAAGAGCTCTACATCAAATCTTCAATGGGAAAAGATCTAAGCAGAAATTTGAAGCCATCTATAATCATAATTTTCTGGGAGTTACTGATGGACATATTAGCTGAATTTGATGATTGAATGATAGTGGTTATTTTTTTAACAATTTTCATGAGTGGATTTGATCTTTAGAAACTACCTATGCATTTCAGCTGTTGGAAAAACAATTAAATGTAGGATATGCGACTAGGGTGGAACAAGATTTGTCTCAGATCGAGCATCTAAAGGGAGGTACATATGAATCTGGACAAGTTTTATGCGATTTCTCCCTCTATTCTCCTTTTGATTTATCAGCTCTACATAGAGTAGTACATAAATTGATTTTTCACGCTTTTTAAATTTTCCACCATATTTGGATTGGCAAAAGGTAGGAATTCAACACTTAATACAGAATTAAGCAATAAAATTCAAAGTTATTTTTTTCTACTTTTTACATCTATCAAAGAAGAATTGAGCATTCATTGATGTTTCACCACCTCTTTTCAAGATGTTCTCAACTTTTAGGCTAGCAATTGCATAATCTGGTTGAAATATAGAATGTAATTTAGCATGTGTGCCTGTTTGTGTGTTTTCAAAACTAGATTTTGTTATGATTACTTTCAATAAAGTATCATCTACTTACAAAATAGACAACATATACACCCTCTAAGCCATATGATAGGGAATACTTGAGTTCGCAAGTAACCCAAAGGAAATACTTGAGTTCGCAAGCAATCCTAATCGAAATTAGCAAGAAAACAGAGAGAAAACTGCTGTTTACAGCAATAAAGCAGCCCAATCGCAGCAGTTTTTGCACGGAAACAGTGAGAACTTGGAGAAAAACAAAGGAATTCACTAGTAGATGCGGGAAAACAATAAAAGATACAATGCTCTTCGATTCGAGAGGAAGAACAACTCTCCACAAGTCTCTAGCAAACCCTAGAGCCCAAGTACCCGATGAGATCTCAAACTTTCATTCAAAATTCAAGATGATCCCTAATTCCCCCCTATTCCCCTAATTAACATCAAAGGAGAATTACAACTTACCTAATCAGCCCTTACATTCAAATCTTTCCCCTCAAAAATTGCATTAAGCCCAGCATGGGGCCCACAGAAGTTCCGCCCCCTCCCTGTTGTTTTCTCCGCCTGGTATAGACCAAGACCGGTCTAGGCTAGACCGGTCCAGCCGGCCGCTCCTGGGCCGGCGCCGTAACATTACTCCCCTCCCAAAAACTCACCTTGTCCTCAAGGTGAAAAGAGAGAAATTGCTCTTTCACTCTTTCAAGCGGCTCCCACGTAGCATCGAAATCCGGGAGGTCTTCCCATCGAATCAACACTTCCTTATTGCCCTCTATAGCTAATCTTATCCCTATAAGCTACAGGGGCTCTAAAATCACTTCCAAATCCTCCGTCATTAATGTTGGTAACTCTGCACTAACTGCATGCTCTCCTAGAGCTCTTCTCAGCTGTGACACATGGAACACCGGGTGTATTGTAGCGGAGGCGGGTAACTTCAGACGATACGCCACAGCTCCAATCTTCCCCAAGATCTCATAGGGACCAAAATACCTCGGAACTAGTTTCTCATTCCACCTGTTAGCCATTGATTTATGCCTGTAGGGCCTTAGCTTCAAGAACACCTCCCCAACTTCAAACTGCATGTCCCTCCTGTGTGAGCCCGCGTGCTTCTTCATGATTTGTTTTGCCCTCAGCAGATGTTTCTTTAACTCCTCTAGCACCTTGTCCCTTTCTTCCAGGTAATTCTCCACTGAAGAAACTGGTGTACTTCCTCTCCCATAGTGCACTAGGTGTGGGGGTCCCTTCCATATAGTACTCTAAATGGAGTCATCTGAGAGGCAGAATGGTACGATGAATTGTACCAATACTTGGCCCATGGCAACCACTTTGCTCACAACTGCGGTGTTTCAGAAGCAAAACACCTCAAATAGGTCTACAAACTTCTGTTTACTACCTCTGTTTGCCCATCTATCTGTGGATGGTAGGCGGTGCTTCTTTTTAGGACAGTGTCCTGCATCCTGAACAGCTCCCTTCAAAATTGGCTGAGGAACACTTTGTCTCGATCAGACACAATCGATTCAGAAATTCCATGCAGTCTCACAACCTCCCTGATGAATGCTGCTGCTACTAACACTGCGGTGTAAGGATGTCGTAAGAGGATGAAGTGTGCATATTTGCTAAGTCTGTCAATCACCACCATGATGACCGTGAATCCTTCTGATCTTGGTAAACCGTCGATGAAATCCATGGACACTTCCTCCCATACTCTGTTTGAAAGCGTCAATGGTTGTAGTAATCCTCCTGAAGTCATGGCCATGTATTTGTTTCTCTGGCACACTTCACACCTCGCCACCATCTTCTCAACATCATTATGCATCCCCTTCCAGGAGAGCTCAGCTGCTAGCCTCTTGTATGTCTTCTGAACTCCTGAATGGCCTCCAACTGCGCTACCATGGAACTCCTGCAACAAGTGGGGAATATGTATGGAGGTTCGTGGCATCACAAACCTCCCTTGATACAATAGTCTCTCCCCCTCAATGCAGTAACTAGGATGGCTACTCTTGTCTTTCCTCAGATCTTTCCTAATCTTTCTCAATTCTTCATCCAGCATGCTTTCTTCTTTGATGGCCCCCTAGTCGACCATCAAAGGTACAGACACAACTAATTCCTGGAGCTCCCCCACACATCTGGATAAAGCGTCAACTGCTTTATTTTCCAAGCTTGACCTGTACTGAATCTCGAAATCATAGCACAAAAGTTTGGATAGCCATCGCTGATGCTCCTTAGTTACCATTATTTGCTCCAAGAGGTACTTTAAGCTCCTCTGATCAGTCCGAACGATGAAGTGTCAACCCAAAAGATAGGGGCGCCGCTTCTGAATAGCCAAGACAATGGTCATCAGCTCCCTCTCATACACTGACTTCACTCTTGCCCTAGTTGATAGCAATTGACTAAGTATGCTATAGGCATGTGGTTTTGCATCAACACTGTCCCCAATCCATATCCTGATGCATCGGTCTTTACTACAAAGACCTGGCTAAAGTCAAGAAGAGCTAGAACAGGAACAGTGGTTATGGCTTCCTTTAACCTCTCGAAGGCCTGGGTCGCTACCTCTCCCCAGGAAAATTTGTTTTTCTTCAGCTGCTTAGTCAAAGGCTATGCAATTGTACCGTACCCCTTCACAAACTTCCTGTAATAACCAGTCAACCCTAGGAATCCCCTCAACTCCCTTATATTCCTAGGCAGTGGCCATTTCTGCATTGCCTCAATTTTGGTTTGGTCCGCTGCCACTCCTTGGGATACCACATGTCCCAAGTACTCCACACTTGACTGAGCGAAGCTGCATTTCTTCAGGTTGGTTTTCAATTGATGCTCCTGTAGCACTTTTAAGACCATTCTCAAATGTTCCAAGTGCTCCTCCACAGTCTTGTTGTATACAAGAATGTCATCAAAAAATACCATGATAAACTTCCTGAGGTGCTACATCAAAGACTGAAAAGTAGCAGGAGCGTTAGTCAATCCAAAGGGCATTACCAGAAATTCATAATGCACTTCGTGTGTCCTGAAAGCTATCTTTGGAACATCTGGCTCCCTCATTATGATTTGGTGGTATCCGGATTTTAAGTTCAACTTGGAAAACATCACTGCCCCATATAGCTCGTCCAATAGCTCATCAATCACCGGGATTGGGAACTTGTCTGGTACAGTTTCCCTATTCAGAGCCCTGTAATCCACACAGAATCTCCAACTCTCATCCTTCTTCTTGACCAGGAGAATTGGACTAAAAAAAGGGCTAATGTTGGGTCTGATGATCCCCGCCTCCAGCATTTCCCGGATCAACTTTTCAATCTCATCTTTCTGAATCTGTGGATACCGGTAAGGGCGGACGCTGATCGGTGTCTCCCCTTCCTTCAAGGTAATGGAGTGCTCTAACTCCCTCTGAGGAGGTAAACCCTGGGGAGGTTGAAAAACCTCGCTGAACTGGTGTATGAGTGACTGCACTGAAGAGGGAACATTGCATTCTTCCTCTAGTCTGACCCCTTCCAGGCGGTGCAACTCCACCAGGTAGCCTCCTCCCTCCAATCACCAGTTCCATCCTCAGTGTACTGGTTAGGGATTTGAGAGAAACCCCAGCCTTAGTCAGCCCAGCATCACCCTGAAATATTCTCGTTCTCCCCCCAATCACCAGTTCCATCCTCAGTGTACCCCAATTGATCTTAGTCTCCCCCAATGTCTACAGCCACTTCATCCCTAGGATGACGTCAGTACTCCCCAATTCCAAGGGAAGGAAGTCCTCCATCACCTGGATCCCCTGAATCTTTAGCACCACCCCTCTACATACTCCTCTACCCATTTCCACCTTCCACGTGCCCATCATCACCCCATAGCCTCCGGTATCCACTAACTCCATCCCAAGCAGCTCAATAATCTGGGTGGAAATGAAATTGTGGGTTGCCCCACTATCTATCAACACCGCCACCTATCGGTCAGCTATCTCTCCTTTCACTTTCATAGTGTGACTCGGAGTGAATCCCACTACAGAGTTCAGAGAGACTTCTTCCACGCCCAAATGCAACTTCTCCTCCTTCGCTTCAGACCTAATCTCACCTCCCTCATTGTCTTCCTCGTCTTCATAGACAAGGAGAACCTGAAGAATTCGGTCCTTGCACCTATGCTCTGTCATGTACTTCTCATCACATCTGAAGCACAACCCATTTGCCCTCTTATCATGCATCTCCTTCTCTGTCAACTTTTTTAATTGTCCCCCATTCCCCCCTCCTCCAGTTTCCTCCTTTGGCGTTTCCTTCAGACTCCCTGGTGCTGCCTCTTTTGACGGTAGGAAGGTGGTAGTCATCCTGTATAATCCCCCTGAATATTTCCCTCGAGCTCCTCTTTCTTATTCTTCTTATCTTCCACCAACTACGCCAGCTCCATAGCCTTCCCTAGGTTCCTCAGCTCCAGCACCCTGACTGTTGTTCGTATCTCAGGTTTAAGCCCCTTCATGAAGTTTTCTTCCAAGGCTGACTCCGAAATGTGATCCAATCTGCTAGTCAAGTACTCAAACATGTCCCGATAATCTGCCACAGTCCCCTCCTGAATCAAGACAAAGAATTGCTCATAAAAGTCTCCTCCCCCATCGGCTCAGAAATGCTCTAATAAGCAATCTTTGAACTCTCTCCAGCTCCGGATGGTCCGGATGGGCTCCCTCCTGCCACTAATGCCATGTCAAGATTTTTCCTTCCAAACACAATCTCGTCACCGTCAGCTTCTCTTCCTCTGTCAACCCGTTAACAGCAAAGTAACGCTCCACCTTGTAGATCTAGCTATGGCCGTCTGTACCCTCAAAGACGGGCATCTTCAGCTTCCTCACCCGTAGGTCTCCCCCATTTCCCCTGAATCCTCCATAACCTCTCATTCCTCGAAAAGGAGGTGCTCCCCAACTGTCTCAATCTTCCCTCCGGCAATTATACCCGAACCTTTCATCGTATTCCCCTCTTCTCCCTTCGAAATCAGCACCCCGGCGATGAAATTCTTCCCTTCTCCCGACAAAATCAACACCCCTCTGGTCATTTCCCAAACTCATCTCCTCTCTAGAAAGTGGCTCTAAAGGTGGCATGTCGTCATCTCCCTCAATGATCTCCACTTCAGAATTTCTCCTCTCCCTAAACAGGATCGGATTCCCTCCTACACCATGGCCTCCGTGATCTCTCTTGCTTCCGATGTCGTAGGATTGGTCTTCAACTCCAGCAGTTTCTTCAACATCTCTTCCATCACCATGAATTTCTCTTCTATCCTTTCAATGTTGGAAGTGATTTTGTTCTGAAAATCAAATCACTTTCCCTCCAAATCGAATTTTAATTGACCGGTCTCACCTTCCAAAACTTCTAACTTCTTCCCGGCCATTTCTCTTCCAAAGAATCACAACGATCTTCTTCCGGTTGTCAAAAAATCTGCTGAAATTTCAAAATTTCAGCCTCCGATCGTCCCAAATTGATGCTCTGATACCAATTTGATAGGAAATACTAGAGTTCGCAAGTAACCCAAAGGAAATACTTGAATTCACAAGCAATCCTAATCGAAATTAGCAAGAAAACAGAGAGAAACTGCTGTTTACAGCGGTAAAATAGACCAATCGCAGCAGTCTTTGCACGGAAACAGCGAGAACTTGGAGAAAAACAAAGCAATTCACTAGTAGATGCAGGAAAACAATAAAAGATACAATGTTCTTCGATTTGAGAGGAAGAACAACTTTCCACAAGTCTCTAGCAAACCCTAGAGCCCAAGCACCCGATGAGATCTCAAACTTTCATTCAAAATTCAAGATGATCCCTAATTCCCTTCTATTCCCCTAATTAACCTCAAAGGAGAATTACAACTTACCTAATCAGCCCTTACATTCAAATCTTTCTGCCCAAAAATTGCATTAAGCCCATCATGGGGCCCACAGGAGTTCCGCCCCCTCCCTGCTATTTTCTCCGCCTGGTATAGACCAGGACCGGTCTAGGCTGGACCGGTGCAGCTGACCCCTCCTAGGTCGGCGCTGTAACACCATCTATATTATTAATAAAGGAGAATCAAGATAAAATTGATAGTTATATATGTGAAGTACTCGTTCTCTATTTTAACGAACTCCCCCATAATATTCCTTTCTAACATCCGGCAGTTTATATAAATTCAGAAACAACTCATAACATCAATCAACTCAAACTTAGAAGGCAATCATCATCATAAATAACCCATCCTAAAGCTTCAACATGGTCACCATTTCTCTGATCTTTGACACCGTTAAATGATTGTAAGTATAATATTTGTTGCAGTATTTTTCTTTTTTGTTTTTACTTAATCACATTTATTTTCTTTTTTTATTTTTTTTTTGAGAACAAATACATAAAATAGAGAAGGGAATTCTAAACAAGCTTGAATGAAGCTTGAAGTTTCCAACCACATGTATTCAATGTTAGGTTTCTCAAAGCAGCAGCTTCTGATAAGCAGGTAACAGAGTGAATAATTCAATTGATTTAGCCATAACAGTTTCAGATGAAATACATGACAATCTTCTTTGTGGAGATTCAATGGTGATGTATTATCCCTCGATGGTTGTTGCTCATGCACTCTATAATACACAATGCAACTTGATTGAAGTCCACTCTAGAGCAAAAACCTGGAGTATTACATTGAGTTCTCATAGAAGCATTTATTGCATTTAAAATTTATACTATTTTTATTTTTTTCTTCAATTGGTAGCATCAACAAGACATGCAAACTTAATCTGTTTGTTTCTGGTTACATAAGGAGTATGCCAACAATACTGCAAGATTTTTCATTCATCAGTACCAGATAGTAAACTCACTATCATTTATAGGAAATTCTCAAAAGATTAGCTTAGAGGTGTTTTGTTGCGATCTCCAACTACAAAGTTGTGATAGACAAGGTGAGAAAGAGCAACAATTTCCACAGTCGCTTGCTTTTGTTAAAATTGACAGTGTTTCGATGAGTGAGAGACCAAGTTCTTGATCTTCATGATGATCATAAAATATCTATTTCTTTCATTCGATTACTCTTCCTTAGGGATGACATGCACTATAATTAAGTTTCTACGTAATTGCTTTTTTATTATGCTTATTATGTTTGTAATTATTATTGTTTGTGTGATGTTGCGCAAAAAAATTAAGAAGACATTTCTTTTGTTGTTAATATATTTACATCAATTCATATTATCTTCTGTGATGCATATATCTAGAGATAGTTATTAAAACATTAAGTATTACTGATGCTTTTTTTTTTTTTGAAAATAACAAAAATATACATGCCAATTAATTGAACTTCAACTTTCATTTTAGAAGGAAATAATTATAGAAAACAAAAAAAGTTTAAAAAATTTAAAAAATACTGATTAATTTTTCTCTTATTGCTTCTTCATATTGATTTTTTGAATTCTATCAATTTACAATTAGCGTAATTGCAATTAAAGTCGTTCTAACAAGCATATGAAGACACTTACATATTTTGACCAGAAGGACCTTTCAGGTGCTTTTAAAGCTTCTTCCTCTCCAGTTTCTGCTGCAAGCAATTCCTCAGTAAATGTAGGAGTTCTGCATGTATTGGCATATCAGTTTTTACTTTACAAAGATTATTGCAATGCATAATTTCATGTGGTTTCAAATGTATTAGAAATAACAATCTCACCACAGCCGATTATCCACTAGAAAAACAATCAGGTTCATTCATAAAGAGCTATTTCTAAGATAAGAGAAAATAGGGGGGAAGTGGTTGATTATGACACGTTAAAAACAACTTGGACAAGTTGATGTTCTATCCAAACAGTATTACCATACGTTGTTCTCAACAGAAAGCACTAAGAATGAAATGATAAAGGACAATTTTTACCTTCGCGCTTGCTCGCTGTTCTTCATGACAGTATATGAATTAAATGACCATTTTTTGGGCTGAAAACAAGGTAAGAGGAGGTTAGTTAACAATCATTATTTTCTCCACTCATACTCTCTAAAGTTCAGACTTCGGAAGGTTTTTCTGCATTTCATTGCGCTGCACCATAACAAAAGGCATTTTCCCAAGAACCAACCCTCGACTGGTTCCACATAAAACTGTAAATTGCTTAAGAACTGGGAGTAAACATGGCAGCAAAGCTGCGCCAAGTAGTAACTTCTAATAATGATTTCACTGACAAATAGCAGATCAGCGTGGTATTTTTAATTCTCCATCAATTTAATCTAAAGTTTTCAACGTTAATTGAAGTTTGTAAAGCCAACGAAGAAATCCTTCGTCTCCGATAAGCCACTTCTACTTTCTCCAAGCTAATTCTATATCCCATTCAATTATTTAAAAGGTAAAAACCAAGATGCAATGTGACCAATATCAAAAGCTACATGTCATTTCAATTGAGACGGAAAACCATAAGTTGTTAAAAATAAAATCCTATTTAATCAATGAAATAACATCATTAGCTAAAAGTTGAACTCAAGCAAGAGTAAGCAGGGTGTACATCAGAAATTCAGTTAATCTAGTTTTATGTATAATGAACAGGTTGTAACTTATTGCCAAAAATGAAATGAAGCAAGCAAGCAGATATACATACATACATATATATATATATATACATACATACATACATATATATATATAAATATATAAGGAGAGAGAGACAGGCTCTTCACGGAACAATACTTCAATTTATCCGATAAGCCGCTTCAGGCTCCAATATATGCAAGAAAAATATAAAGCCTCGAAGATTTTTTTAATGTTCTAGATAACAGTATCAACAAGGCATTGACATGACAAAAAATGACCGACTCTCTGCTAAGTTTTCCACATGACTAGAATTACAACAGCTATAATTTCATCAATCAACAGGAAATGCCAATCACATGGAAGCTTGATTATCATGACTTACAAACTTCAATGGCCTCGGGTACTGACATGAACCAGCTGAACCATAGTTCAAGGCCAAAATATCCACACCATCCTGCAAGAAAGATGAAACGGGAAAGGCTCAACAGGAGAGTAAATATTTCCTAAAAATGCCCAATTTAGGTCAGGAAATATATGATAACGAGAAGGGAAATATTAGATTCAGAAATGAAAACATATGTCGAAAGTTGGACTTAAAAATTATTGGAAAACATAGGAAATATATTTTACATATTTGTTACTCAAATGGGTGAAAGAGAAATAATATTTATAGGAGAAAACGAATTGCTGAAAAACAGCCATAAAAAGCCATTAGGAGGAAAAAAAGAATAAAATACACCAAATCAAATACAACAAAATAGGTAATCGCTACAATATTTTAAATTTCTTCTACATCAAGAAATACTGCTTGAGAATGGTAGCAATGTAGAGCTTTTATTACAAGGGGGACAGCTGGCGGTTAGCCAATAAGAGGCGGAGTAGCAGTAGCTAAAGTTGAATTGATGACCGCTGGTTCAAATGAACCTATTGCTGGTTAATTTAAGAGGGGAAGACAGAGGGTGGAGGTGAGCAAGGAAGTGAAGAGCAAGAGGCAGAGAGTGAAATAGAGGTCAAAAAGGAGAGGGAGACAAGAGAAAGAGAGGGAGTGACAGAGAGGAAGGGAGTGAGGTCAAGGGAGAGATATGAAATAAGAGAGATAGAGAGGGAGATCAAGAGAGATGGAGGAAGGGGAGATTAAGGAAGAGAGTGCAAGCAGGAGAGACAAAGGAGAATAATAGAGAGATTGAGCGGGCAACCGAGGGTTCAACAAACCATACAAAATCAAACGAAGCTCAAGCAGGATAGGCTTTCCTCTCAAATTTTAGGATGTAAATTTAATTTAGAATTTGATTGAGAAAACCTAAATTTTTTATTTTGGTGTACAAAATAAATTGTTGAGTATTTTAAGGCTTTTAAGAAGATATATGATGACTCTAGACAACACATATATAGACATTTTTGTTTTTGGATTAAAAATATTATTAGAATCTGATTTTATTTTTTAAATAAGTAGAGTGATATGTTCAATTATAATTAAAATTAGAAAAGAGAAATTTGGGGTGATGAATTCAATTAAAGATCATATAAAACCTAAAATTTAATTAAATATTAAAGCTGTAATTTAAATATAATATAAAAGAGAAAAATAAATGAAATTTAAATAGGAATGGAAAGATTGATATTCTAAAAGCTACAGTTAATTACCTATAAATATATGCTGGAATGAAAAATGAATATTAATAAGTAATTAAATCTTAGTTAAGATAAATAGATGTAATTTAAATAAAATGAATTAACAAAGAATATCTAATGTGTATGATTTATAGGCATTCAATTAAAGGAGAAATAATTTAAAAACTAAATGGCAAAAGCAAGTTATTTGAGGTTAAAGATTGTGCTCACATTTTCAAATTATCGCGTTGTTATTGTTCCTCTAAATTAAATGCATTACTTAATATTGACATTGTTATTCCAAATTCACATATGATTTATCTCTTTCATTGAAAAATATATGGGCTTAAAGTGATGCCCAAGATTGTGCGAATTATAAATAAATTAAATTAATGTGTCATACTTTAAAACTATGAAAGAGAGTTATGGAGAATAGTTTACGGCGTGATACTAATGTTTCTCAAAATCAATTTGGATTCATGTGGTAGATCTACTATGGAAGCTATACATTTATTGAAAGGTTTGATGGATAAGTATAGAGAGAATAAGGAGAATCTACCTATGATGTTTATTAATTTAGATAACGCATATGATAAAGTTCCAAGAGAAGTGATATGGAGAGTTCTATAAAAGAAAGTAATAATGCTTATATTCAATTCATTAAAGATATGTATGCATAAGTTGTTACTTGTGTTCAAACACAAGGTGGTTTGACAAATTATTTTTTTCATTTCAGTTGGATTACATCAAGGATTAGCCTCAAGCCCATATCTTTTTGTTTTAGTCATAGATATTCTTACTAGATATTTGCAAGAGGATGTACCCGGGTTTTTGCTGAATATATTCTTCTTGTTGATAAGACTAGAGAGGGAGTTGAAGGTTAAGTTGAATTATGGAGGGCAACCAGAGTCTAAAGTTTTTCGCTTGAGTAGATCTAAAACTGAATATATGGATTGTAATTTTAGTAGTAATAGATCTAGTGTGGGGATTGTGACTTTGGGCAATCAAGTCATTAAAAAGAGTACATGTTTTAGACATATTGGGCCTATTGCTCAGAGTGATGGTGAAATAGATAAGGATATTATTAGTAGAATTCAAGTTGGGTGATTGAAGTAGAGGAATGCATCGGACTTGTTGCGTGATAGAAAAGTATCTCTCAAATTTAAGGGAAAATTCTATAAGAAAGTGGTGAGACCTACAATGCTTTATGGCGCAAAATGTTGGTCATTAAAAGAGAAGCATAATATTAAGTTAAGTCTTGCAGAGATGCAGATGCTCAAGTGGATAGGTAACTTTACTCTTAGAGACAGGATACAAAAGGAGCATATACATGAAAAAGATTAGAGTAGCTCCAATGGCAGATAAGATTATAGAGAGTCACCTTGGATGATTTGGTCACATAAAACGACGGCCTTTTGATGACTCGATTAGGTGAGTAGATGTATTAAATTTGGCTTATGTTAAGAAAGGTAGAGATAGACCTAAAAAGATTTAGTTAGAAAATATTAGAAATGACCTTTCTTTATTAGATTTAAATAAAAATTTGACTATTAACAGGATACAATGGAGAAAAATGATTCATGTGACTAACCCCATATAGTAGTATAAAGGCTTGATGTTGTTGTTGTATTGAAAATATTTCGTCATTAAAATTAATGATATAACTCTCATGTCATACTTAATGTTTATATTATATATAATGTGTATAATAAAAAGATATTGAATGATATAGAAGAATGCAAATGAAATAATCTATATAAAAATGCTTGCATAAAATTGTTGATTAATGTAATTCACTTGGGAAAAGAATCAAAATGGTCCCTTAACTCTTTATGAAGCATAAAATGGTCTCTAATTATATTAAAGGACTAGTTTGATCTCTCAAGTCCGTAAAAAGGAACAAAAATAGTCTCAAGGTGTGACTATTTTGATTTCTCTTTAAAGAGTTGAGGGATCAAAATAGTCATTTAATATAGTTGTGAACCATTTTTTATTTTTCATAAATAGTCAAGAGACTATTTTGGTCCTTTTATCCCATTCAATTCCTCAATGTATTGGCCAAGGAATCATGTACTCAGACGTAAAATGATTGCTTGTTCACAAATTTGAAAAAAGATATTCATATTGATGTATCCTAAGTGGAACAATCAGAAGCTCTTGTGATGATTGTATTATATGAAAATAAAACAAATAACATATGATATGATCATTTCCTATTCGGGTTACTAATCTACAAGAGAATGTTTCAAATCCTTTTATATTTTCATCTTTAAATAAAATAAAATGTTTTACAAATTCATATTAATTTATTTATAAAAACTAACATACATATTGGTTCTTATATTCTTTGTATTATTGTGATTTAGAATTATGATTTGTCTAATGATTTGGGTTGGAACTCACCATAGTTATTAAATAAATATTCATAGAATAGGATTTTAAAAACTAAATGAGTGAGAGAATGAGTTTGTATACTACATATATGAAGCTACAAGTGAAAAATATTTATGTATTATGGATATTGTACAAAAAATAGTATAACTATTATTATTTTGGAAATAGAATGAATTTCATGATTTAGTAACCCTTTTGATGTATTAGAATTTGTTATAAGAAAATTAATGAACAAGAATTTTGATATTATTTAATGTTAGTAGATGTATTTAAAAACTATGTATGACATTCTATTCGTGCCTTAGTATTTCAAACTCTCAAGACAGATCGTTACAATGTAGTGATTGTTGGCAGCAAAAGAAATATTGAACTTAATTTCATGTGCTGGTTTTGAGGTGCACCAGTTGGATATGAGGAGATAATTTTATAATTTTTTACCCTCCCCCTCGAATTATGAAGATACAGTTATCATTTCTAGCTTAGAATTATTGTTTTCAAATTTTGTTTGATTAAGAGCTTTGGTAAGGATAACAATATCTAAAACTGAATATATAGTGTAATTTTAGTAGTAATAGATCTAGTGAGGGGATTCTAACTTTGGGCAATCAAGTCATTAAAAAGAGTACACGTTTTAGACATATTGGGTCTATTGTTCAGAGTGATGGTGAAATAGATAAGGATGTTATTAGTAGAATTCAAGTTGGATGATTGAAGCAGAGGAATGCATCGAACTTGTTGCGTGATAGAAAAGATCTCTCAAATTTAAGCGAAAATTCTATAAGATGGTGGTGAGGCCTGCAATGCTTTATGGCGAAAAATGTTGATCATTAAAAGAGAAGCATAATGTTAAGTTAAGTCTTGCAGAGATGAGGATGCTCAAATGGATATGTAACTTTACTCTTATAGATAGTATACAAAAGGAGCATATACATGAAAAAGATTAGAGTAGCTCCAATGGCAGATAAGATTATAGAGAGTCACCTTGAATGATTTGGTCACATAAAACGACGGCCTTCTGATGACTCGATTAGGAGAGTAGATGTATTAGATTTGGCTTATGTTAAGAAAGAAAGAGGTAGAACTAAAAAGATTTAGTTAGAAAATATTAGAAATGACCTTTCTTTATTAGATTTAAATAAGAATTTGACTATTAACAGGATACAATGGAGAAAAATGATTCATGTGACTAACCCCATATAGTGGTATAAAGGCTTGAAGTTGTTGTTGAATTGAAAATATTTCGCCATTAAAATTAATGATATAACTCTCATGTCATACTTAATGTTTATATTATATATAATGTGTATAATAGAAAGATATTGAATTATATAGAAGAATGCAAATGAAATAATCTATATAAAAATGCTTGCATAAAATTGTTGATTAACGCAATTCACTTGGGAAAAGAATCAAAATGGTCCCTTAACTCTTTATGAAGCTTCAAAATGG